CTTTTGTTGAATTATATTGATCATATTGAGTGTTAGTATAATTAGAATAAGATTTCTATAGGTGGATTATTGATTCATTAGGAGAAGATTTCAAGACACTGCGGATAGTTGTTTGCATTTAGGAGGAATGATGTTAGGACCAAATTTGTTTCTAGTTAGATAAACGTAACTAAGCGATCCAGAAATGGGGAGCTCCAGCCATTTTTGGATGTTGAAAACTGAGTCCAGGTTTTCAGAAATATTTTTTTATTGGATGCTACTGTAAGATGCCACCAGAGTATTGAAAGTACATAACGGCTGCGTAAAAGAATTTTATTTTTTGGGTGTAATGGCTTCAGACCTATATCTTTCATCAGGTCAGGGGATAAGGAGAGTGATTCTGATTTGTGTTTGTCATGTTGTAATTGAAGAATCTTCCTAAATAACAAAGTGATTGACCAATTTGTGTAACCGGAATTAAGCATCTATTAATGAATAACTTCAGGAGTTATTTAACTGATTTGGTGAGAGCTTTCTTGATGCCAAAGGTACTCCATTTGTCCACTCCTATGATCATGTCTGGCCATTGACACCAAATTGAAAAACAATTTAGTAGGATTTGATTTTCAGATTCTTGACTGGTTATTACGGCTGCATCTGGATAAGAGTGTTGAAGCTGAAGTTGACGAACAACGGACTGAAGCAATCACCTTGTAAAACTCCAAGTTACCTTTATAAATGGGGTACTAAAATCAGGTGTGATGAATGTTCTAAAGTTTGTATAAAGACTTTTAATTATGTGTTGATCATGTATGTGATGATAGCCAAGGACAGATTGAGTCACATTATAGTAGTAGGCTTATGACGAGAGATTGCTGTCTTATTCGTCATTGGTTAATAATCAAGGCCATTTAAGCTGTGTGTTAAAATGTTCCTGATATAATGAGGAGTAAATCCTTTCTGAATTTTGTGTTCGGTTAAGTTATTAGCAATCAAATATGAAAACATTGCATTACAGAGACATTAAATGAATATTTTAAACGGCACAGATAGAAGAGTTATCCAATGAAAGTTTTCAGGAAGATCAGTATGATTTTTTTGTGTATTGATATAGTACAAGCTTTCTTCTATTTATCAGGAACAGACCCAGAAAGCCAGACCACTTGGATTAGTTTGCTTAAATATGTTCGGATGTATAGGCAACGTTTAAAACATATAATAGAAATTTGATCAAGAGGACAAGGAGAGCCAGATGTTTTCTTTACGAATATTATTTTGTTATTGGTTGATAATTTGGGGGTTGAAGGTCAAATTCAATGTGGCGATCAGGTAATTTTGGAATCCAATTTGGAATGTTAAATATTTTGTTTGGGTTTATCTTGGTCAAAACTGTCTTAAAATATTTTAAACAATCATCCATATTAAAGGTGGGAAGAGTAGATTGGTTGCCTTAAATAATTTTCTTCACATATCCCCAGAAATTGCATCCAATACATTTGTCCGGGTTTAGCGATTCATCTATATTATTAGTTGTTCAATGCTTTCTTTAATTCCTCTATGCTGTTACCTTTATATTTGTCAACAAGCAAATGATTCGGTAGAGATTCTGTAAAACCAAAGTTGTCAGCAAAGTAGCTGTAAATGGTGTTATTCAATTTTTTAATTGTATTCAAATAGGTACTTTTGATTGGTGGATAAGAAATTAATAAAAACTTGAAATCTTCGTTAGCCGTTTGCCATTCTGAATTGGTTTTAGGAAGATTTATACCCATTTTAACTCAGGATATTCCTTGCCACAATTAGTATTAGGGTTTGAGCTCTGATCTGAAAGAAGACTGGATAACATCTATAGAAGGCAAAAGTGAAGCCGGAAGTGATTCGGCCGCCACCTAATTCAAAGGCTGCACTTTCATATAATTTAACATAGATTTCTATTACAGAACCTTTTTTTTGCGATTTTTCGCCTTGTTCACATTTCTGACTGGGCGAATTTTACAACCACAAAAATAGAGCATACGAGAAGGAATTTGAGCAAAAAATTTGGAGTATTTTGACTTCATAACACTCTGAAACAGGATTTACAACATTGAAGCAGAATAGCGTCTTGGACATTGTTTCATATCAAGACCACTCAAAAGCAAGCTCTCTTTGATAGTTCGGTACAAAATCAACTCAAAATATAGTGTTACTACTTCTGGACAAGTATTCTAAGAAAACCTGAAGAAACAAAGCGATTACATTGTGAACAAAGGTGTACTGAGGTTAGTTTTCATTTTCAAAATACTCTGAGCTTGCATTGTCAATTTATTATTGGTGGTTAAAAAGAACAAGTTTGTTTAATTTCTTAATTATAATGTTTCCACAGGCATCTTGTGTGACTTCTTTGCAATATGTTTGACCAGGTTGTGGATGTGGTTGTATTCCACTGGTGTGTTGAACGTGTGATAATTCAATCCCTTGAATATCGAGGAGGTGTTGCATGCTGCTAACACAGCCACAGTAATGGCATCTACAATCCCTTTACCATGCCGAAGACGCCCACCTGATACTGCCAACATTCGCTCAAAGCATTTTTCAAAATGATAATAAGGTCAGCTTTACTTCAAGATTTACAACTAAAAAGAATGATGTGAAGCATAGTCATTGAAAAAACAAAGTATTTAATATCCTAGTTTTTATAACAGATTTACTCTTCCACACATCAATTTTTCTTTTTAGTATAACACATAATACAAAAATCACACAATATACAGTAAATTAAGACCACAGATCTCTAATGATTACTGTAATACACTATGTTGACAGTGCAGTGGAATTTAAAGTCACAGATTTAAAAAATCAAATACAATGTGTAAAATTAAAAACAGATACCACCAAGTGCTTCATATCAGAACTATAGAGTAAATCCATTTTCCGAGTCAAATCCGAGCCCGAGTCAAGACCGAGTCCGAGTCAAGTGACCGAGTCCACCCGTTCCGCACGTTGTGACCAATAATCTATTGTAACTGTAAACCAGTTGTATGCAATAAGTTATTGGGTTGTAATGCTAAAGTCCCATGTACCAGGGGGTGGCGGGAATTGGCGCACTTTCATGACCTAATTTAGTATTCAAAATAAACAGCGCCATTTTTCACAATTTGGCTCCTTAAAGTGCTTATACAGTGACTTGTTTTGTGCAACTTAAACCGTTCAATATACGATTATCTTTCACAGTAAGTTTAAACTATTTTCTTTCAATATAGCGTATATAGGCCTTCATATCTAGAAGCGGAATTACAATATTTATGAATATTCATGTTCATCAGTTCAATATGAATATTCAGGTGCGTGCAATCTTCAAATCAGTGAAATCATGTTGATGTTAACAAACGTTGACCTTGTCTGAGAATCAGTATTTCTACACTTTATCATAGTTTCTATACTTTATAGACGCTGTATTTTCTACAGTACATTGCAATATTGTAGGTTCGAATAAGCAATCAAAAGTTGTGTACATGTGCTGATGCAAGAAAGTTCTGAACATTAATTCCAAGTGTTGAAATTTGTACATTAGCAACAGCATATTGTGCACTTAAAGTAGTAGTAAATTTTGTAATTTGTATACATGAATTCATTGTCCTTTACTAGCTTATTATAGCTTATATATGTTTTTATACATGTAGCTTTTTATAACATTTCCAACAATGTGTAACCGTACGTCCTGCGTCCCAAGTGCAGGAGTCGCCTACACAGCCAAAAACGCCATAGAATTGTCGCAAGATGCGTTCGCACGGCTTGCTCCAATTTGTTCACAAGTTGTAGCAAACCTGTTCACAAGTTGCTGCAGCCCTGAAAAGATCAAGTTTGCTGCAGCAAGCTTGTGAAAATCAGGCCTGTTTGAAGTTGTGAATTGCGAACTTGCTGCAAGTTGTTAAAACAACTTGAAACAAGCTGATAACAACTTGCAGCAAGTCTGTTGACAACAACTTGCAGCAAATCTGTTGACAAGTTGTAGCAGGCCTGTGGGCAAATTGGGTCAAGTCTGCAGTTGACAACTTGCATCAAATCTGATAATATACCGACTTGTAGCAAGTTGTCGACAACTTGTAACAGACTTGTTCACAACAAGTTGGCGCAAGCTATGCGAGCGCATCTGATATGAACTTGATGGAACAAATCGCATCAAGTCTGCAGCAGACTTGTTACTACTTGCACGTTTTTGGCTGTGTAGGCGATAGCCGGGAGGGCACATTGATTACTACATATTGTATTTTTATAGCTTATATATGTTTAACTAGTCATGTACATAGTGCTTCACTGTTCATACATTGTACTCAGACCCCAAGGATGTTGGACGCTGTGGCAGATTCAAAACTGATGCAATATTACAAAAATGAACAACTTTGCTTTTTAATGCAAATTTATTAGTGCATAACTTCTGAATCCACCACTGGTTAGATGATAAAATCATTAGAATTTACGATTTTAAAACAAGGCACACTTGGCTACACTGCTGAATTAGTACATAGTTCATACAATCAGTTGATATTTTGATATTTTATATAGATAATATGCACAAATTTCCTCTTGTTGAGTAAGATCGTTCAGCATCAGGGATTCAGGCACTAACAGGTGACATAATTTTACAAGCATCATAAAAATCACATTGAAGTACAGATGTCCAAACATTTTATCACACACAGTACATATTATCACAATTATATACCTTACGAGAAACCTAGCTAAAACCTGCACAGAAATATATACCTCTATGTAGGTCTTAATGGAGTAACAAATCAATCTACCTTCTCTTGACAGACATTGCTGTGTATAATTTTAATTATAATTGCAGCAATGTCTGTCATGAGAAGGTAGATTGATTTGTTACTTCATTAAGATATACATAAGGGCATACATTCCTGGGCAAGTTTTAGCTAGGTTTCTTTTAAGTTTCTGATAATAACTACTGTGTCTCATAAAATGTTTAAATGTCAGCACTTCAATGTGATTATGTCACCTGTTAGCGCATGAATCCCCGATGCCAAATGATTCTTTCATATTATTCATATACAGTTTGTACTGTAAACTTGATACCAGTAAGTTTCATCTTTTAAATACAGAACCTGAATGAATTTCTAATTTTAGATGTCTAAGAGCATTTTGACGAAAGAACAGCAAGAGTATCTTAGTAAGGCTTGGGATGAAGGGATGACCTCTCTTTCCAAACATAATATTATAGACAATGTGAAAAGTGAAACTGGTTTAGATGAGAAGATAATTAAGGTACAAATGCATTCTATAAGTACAAAGAATACACTTTGATGTGAAGAACTGTAATTTGGAGTTACTCATTTCCATGGGTTCATGTCCATTGAAGCTTGTTAGAACTTCATTATTGATTCGTATTTTTTTTAAAACTGATGTTTTGCAAAAGTTACTTGTATTCAAGTCAGGAAACATATTTCAATTCATTAGGCAAATCTCTGCTAAATGATATGTACAAACTCACCATTTTTTATTGTATTTGGAGCAGCTTAGTGAACTATCCTAGATATGTATTGCTGTTTGGCTATGCATACACCTGTGGTACAGTGTAATAAAGTACTGTATGCGATGTGACACTTAAACCGGTATTCATGTAGGCACATAATTGTGCTATAGAACTTGTCTGATAATTTGCAGTTTCACAGTTGTAATGTTGTAAAGTGTGGGTCATGCAATCTTTATTTAAATGGTAGAATTTTACAGATCAAATAGCATTATACACTGTAGGAACACTAAAAAAATTATGCATACAGTACTGTTATTTCTGGTGCAGCAGTGTGATGTATACCATTTTAAATTTTTAAGAATTGGATTGGAAATGAAAGAAAAAGGCGAGGAATGGCTGTTAAGAGAGGCCTTAGGGAACAAAAAGTAGAAAAACTAGCAAGTAAACCTCGCAAAAGAACAGCATACTCGGCATTCAAAAGTGAATTTTTGGCCAGTGATTCAGGTACTCTATGGACTATTACTAAATGGGCACTTGCAACATTTGGGCACTTGCACGATTTTTTTGTGCAAACCATTTTTGCTGGCTTGCGCTATATGTGTAAGCCAGCAAAAACCTATAGCTGATTCGCTGTGTGTTATACCATTTTTGTGCAGTAAAAAGTATTTACTTTGCATTTTAAATTCTAGCGAAAGAGATGAAAGCAGATGGGGCTAGTGCAGGTGACATACAAAAGCAAGGAAGCATGGCATACCAATCATTATCGCCATCTTCCAAGGAGAAGTACGTCGAGATAGCTGCCACATGCAATGATCGCTCAGCCCAATGTAGTGAGGTGACTAAAGAGAAGAAAGTTAAAAGAATAATTAAAAATATTCATTCAAATGTAAGATAATTAGTTTAAGACTGTCACTATCCATCATAAGACTTGCCGGCATTTCATTTCTTTGTCAAACGTTCATTCAACGCGCTGCAGCAGACGTACAGCAGTGCTAGAGGCTGCCTTTACATTTTAAGAATGATATGAAATATTTTTGCAGATGAAACTGTTGGACGATCTTGGCTGTCCATCTATTTGGCTCGGGTATGGTGCAAAGGCTCCTTAACGACTCTTCTCCCCTCAAATGAGTGAACTCGCTGAAGACGGCCTATTTACAAACTACGTTGTATCAACCATGATAAAAAAAGTTGGTGAGTTTTGACCTATAAACCTGTGTAATAAAGTCGTGTAATCAGCAACGTACCGGTACATGAATTTGATGATGTGGTAACAGCACATTTACAAGAGGACATTCCAAGAACATTTTCAACGTACATGTACATGCTATATATACAAGCAATTTTGAACTGGTACCATTTCAACACATTCCTTTATGAATTTTTATTTTTCAAATGTTTATTGTAATGTACGTTCTATAATTTTAGAAAGGGAGGGTTGCGCCGGGGGAATAAACATTTTATTGCTGTTTTATCAGACAGCAGCTAATAGGCAAATGCATGTTCTTTTTGCCATCATTTGCATATCTTTTTAGCGGAGTCGAAAATTAAGGACGTTTTAGATGTGGGTGAGGGTGCAGAAGAATCTAAGAGAAAGAAAAAGATTAAGCGGAAATCGAAGAAACAAGGAGAAACGATCACGAAGAAAGGTGTAAATTACCTACCAAATATGATAATTCGAAACAATAAATGTACATTCGTATTTGCTTCTCCAGAAACAGACTGCACATTTGGTGTCTATAGGAAAGGACAAGTGGCAAAAGAGTAAAATGTAGTTTTTTGGCCCCTCAGAAAAAATTACATTTGCGTTTTGTGCATGTAGCGTAGAATAGACTAATACTTGCATGGATGGTAGTTGCAATACTAACAAGGAAACATCATAGAATTAATGTAGTTTTAAAATGATTCGATGCAATTGCACCACTGCTCCGATTTCAGAATCATAACGCTTTAGTGGACTAGTGTCATTTGCAGGACACATTATTAATTTGTTATATGTACTTATTGTTGTTATGGTAGGTGGAAATAGGTAGGTACAGGAACATGTAGGTAGGTAATAGGATATGTAGGTAGAGGATATTCAATTATGGTTATGTACAAATTAATTCAATCTTAACGTTGATCTCCGTTTCAGACGTCCATTCAGAGGCTGTTTTAAAACCAGGTAGATTGTCGTTACTTTTTTATAATCAAACTGTAGTAAGTATAATTTATTGATCATGAATTACAATTTCTGTGTTCATCAACTTGTTTGATTCTTTAATAGGGTATCAAGTAGAAATTTTGAATGCCGACAATGATAAAATTGGTATTGGTGAAATTACGTCTCAGACTGTTGTGCATGGATACGAAGTGAAAGATGATTGGATTCCGCTTTTAGTGAAAGACATTTTAACAAATACTAAAACATGGCCTGAATACCCAAGCCATTCTGGTACTGTGGAGATGAACAGCTTTGTTGCTTGGCCAAAAATCTATTTACGCATAAGACAATAGCTCAGTTTTAAAATATTTACAGGGTGAGTAAAAAAAAGTGATGCATTTTCATATTCAAATTTGCCACATAGCGGCTGTAATGTGACAGAAGTTGCCTAATGTGAATCATTAATTAATCTGAAACAATACTGAAGCACACGCGTCACGTTGAGTGAGTTAAATTGCTGTAAACGCTTTTGCGTTATTAACTACAGCCTGTTGGACACAAGGGAATTGTCAAATTAGGCCAGTCATACGTTCGCGGCAAATTTGAATAACAAAAAGCATCACCTTATTTTACTCACCCTGTACAGGGTGTCCCAAAAAACCCAAAACTATTAAAATTATGCTGTTATTATCCTGTTGTTGGAATTTGAATGTCTGAGTGCCATGGAATACCCACAGGTGAATAGGCATCTGCTACTTGTTATTTAAAATTCAAGAAGCTATTGCCTATTCACATGTGGGCATTCCATGGCGCTCAGACATTCAAATTCTAACAATAGTTTTGTTCTTTTGGGACACCCTGTACAGGGTGAGTAAAAAACTGTTTCCTTTTCATAATCAAATTTGCCGCGAACGTATGACTGGCCTAATTTGACAATTCCCTCGTGTCCAACAGGCCGTAGTTGATAATACAAAAGCGTTTAAAGCAATTTAACTCGTTCAACGTGACGCGTGTGCTTATTGTTTCAGATTAATTATTAATGAATTAATGTATTAGTCACACGCGTCATGTTGAACGAATTAAATTGCTTTAAATTATTCACAAATTTGATCTTACAAACTTAAGGCGACTTCTGTCAAAGAATTTGAGTATGAAAAGGCATAACTTTTTGTACTCATGCAACCTGTACATGTATATGCATTGCAGGCAATGATCATTATTGTCTCAAATTATAAGGCCAATCGTTTTGGGTTGGAACTTACTGAAAAACATTCATGCCATGGTATTCTACCGCTAGAGGGAATTTTCGACCCACAGCCAGTAGGGAAGCCAGCCAGTAGATTTGGTCCTACAATGCAAATTTTACGCATTATCATTCGGTTTTTACAGTCTATGAACACAGAAAACTCAGGTTTGCATTGTAGGACTAAATTTGAGGAATTCTGCGGGCTGGCTTCGCCACTGCCCACAGTGTATGCCGTAGCGTATTTCTTTGCTCCAAACTCGTTCCCTTTTGTTTTGTTGTATTATTGAACGTTAAACTATAGAGATCGAATGCAGTGTATCATTCGTCCCAATAGACCATTTAGATAATTTCTTCATTTGGCCTGTGTGCGTCGTTATCATTTATGGCGAGCTAGTCACGTTTGGGTTTTGATTCAGGAAAGCGAGGCTCCCAGGGTCAGATACGTTGCGTTGCTCGCAGGGCAGTTGCTTATCAGTTACGATGATACACTGGATATAGCTGACTGCCATACTCTTCAACTTACTCTTAAACTTCATTATTTTCATTAAACTTCAACTTTGTAAAAAATTTAGCTAGTATAGACAGTTTCTTCATTGATATCAGGAAAATAATGTTGGAAGAAGTTAACCTATATAATTGTAAATAGTTATTATTAAAATGGAAAGCAACCTTTAGTAATGTTGGTCACCACCATCATCTTCATTTTCCTGTATTAGATTCATAATGTGCATTTCTCATTTACTTATACAGCATTACGGAGTGTATGGAACTCTATCTGGCTCTTGTCAGTCGAGTATTGCATTTCAGGCGCGATCTGATTTTACATAACAAGAACGACAAGACTTATATGTTACCATACTTTTACATATAATTAAAGATAAAAATGATCAAAAAATAATCTGTTGAAAATTGCCGATCGAAATCGCAATAAAACTAAAACCGTTCGTGCCGTTGGCTGTAAGTTGTGACTGCTTAGTCTTAGAAAGAATCAGCAAAACATTATTAATTCAAATACAATACCATTCATTGAGTTTCAAGTTGCTTACATCAAGAGAATGGCAACATGTGCATGCGCCAAAAACACCAGTGCAAGGTAAGAAGACAGACAAATTACCGATAAATGTCCTTATAATCAAAGTTACTTTTATTCGATTAGTCTAAAATTTTACAAACAAGTTCAGTTTATGGATTAGAAATCATTTACAAACTTTCGTATCTCAATTCGTTTTGCTTCTATGGGGTCTATTTCATGCACACCATGTCTACATCATGTTATGTATATACGTCATAGCGAAAGTTGTCCTAAAATTTATAGTCAAAGTTACTTTTATTCGATTAGTCTAAAATTTTACAAACAAGTTCAGTTTATGGATGAGAAATCATTTATAAACTTTCGTATCTCAATTCGTTTTGCTTCTATGGGGTCTATTTCATGCACACCATGTCTACATCATGTTATGTATATACGTAATAGCGAAAGTTGTCCTGAAATTTATAATCAAAGTTACTTTTATTCGATTAGTCTAAAATTTTACAAACAAGTTCAGTTTATGGATGAGAAATCATTTATAAACTTTCGTATCTCAATTCGTTTTGCTTCTACGGGGTCTATTTCATGCACACCATGTCTACATCATGTTATGTATATACGTAATAGCGAAAGTTGTCCTGAAATTTATAATCAAAGTTACTCTTATTCGATTAGTCTAAAATTTTACAAACAAGTTCAGTTTATGGATGAGAAATCATTTATAAACTTTCGTATCTCAATTCGTTTTGCTTCTATGGGGACTATTTCATGCACACCATGTCTAGATCATGTTATGTATATACGTAATAGCGAAAGTTGTCCTGAAATTTATAATCAAAGTTACTTTTATTCGATTAGTCTAAAATTTTACAAACAAGTTCAGTTTATGGATGAGAAATCATTTATGTTTGTTAAGTAAATGAGTCAAAATGAATCACAATTGTGACGAATTTGCAGATGACATTTTAATGAATTACTCTCTGTCACGATGTTACGACTGATAGCAGACCTATCAAGAACAAGTACGTAACCAAGTTACCGACGTTTTAGGAGCGCAGTGATCTACGTTCTAGACTTGCTTTCAGGTTGCTTTTTCAATACAGAACATATATATTAGAGTATGAAAAAAACAACGATAATTCTCTTATACCTGTACACTCCATAACAGATTCTACCACAAGTTTTCGACGAGCTTCCAAGTTCCAAACTTGAAGAAAGACATGTTATACTTGATATTTTATTCGTCTCACGAAGATATGACGAATGACTGTAGCGTAACCAGTCTGACAATTTGGGCGTGCTATGCAAATTTCAGAAATCGTTATCATCGTTCAATTCTTTAGAAATTGTTGTTTACAGTCTATGAACAGGAAAAATAAAGCACAACCAAGCTGTCGGGATGGCTACACGCCACTGATTAGACAATTATACTGTACACTGTACAGGGTGTCTCAAAAAAGGGAACTTTGAATTTCAGTACAATACATAATCTAATAGGATGTTTGAAAGAAAATGCCAATTTCTATGTATTGAACTCGAAATGGTTCCTTTTTGGGACACCCTGTACAGTGTAGAGGAAGTATTATTATTTAATATTTAAAACAAAGAAATTGTTACCTACGTTACGTAGACGTTCGAGGTTTACTTTTGTACCTCGTAATTTGTTCAAGTCATTCATTCATTTGTTCAAGATTTTAAAATTATCCACTTTATTAAAAGCGGTCAGCCGTTAGCCATAAATGTCAATTTAAAGGCCTATTACCAAAAAGGTTTACTACCTTTCGCTCTTCAAGGTGTATAAAAACAAGGTGTATAAAAACGCAACATTAAATATTTATGATGTTTGCTTTCAGTTTTATCTCAAAAGATCGTAGGCTTCAGGGAATATGAGATGGCTTCTAATTCTAGGAGTAAAAGAACTAATGAAAACTGTGCAACTAAGGCTAGTTTCAAACATCGAACTTTTCGTGTGCCGAATGCATTAAAAACAATAGATAAACAGTTGAAGGCCCTCGTTATCTATTGTTTTTAATGAGTTCGGCGCATGAAAGTTCGACATTTGAAACAGGCCTAATTACAATACACTCTGATATAATGAATATTAAGTGTTGTGTTTTTCAAGACACCCTGTAGAAATGAATAATGATAATGATTTGAAATTCTTCGTTTGCACTGCATAAATTAGCGGCCATGTTGGAGGAAACATCAAAGTACCGACGCTCCACAGAGCGTATAATTTGTGCAATTTCCTTTCAATTTTCCTCCAACATGGCCACTAATTTATGCAGTACAAACAAAGAATTTGCATAGCATGACCAAATTGTCAGGCACGCTATGCTACTATTTAATGAACATTGGTATAATAGACCTCCTCAGCTTCGTTTTTGTTTACACTTTTGAAATATGTGAAATCGTGGGTTCTTTTTAATTTATTCATATTCAGAAACCAACAATGCATTCCGGATTAGAATGACAAAGAGACCAAAAAAAAGCATACCAAGCTAAGGAGGTCTATTGGTGAGCAATGTTTCAGTTAGAATAACTATCCTCTTCTGCAGTCTCATCGTCCATTTCATCGTCGTAATAATCATCATCGTTGTCTGTGTCGTACTCTTCAGGGACAAAATTAGTTCCGCTACAACACTCACTTAAGTACTGCTTTGCCTCGTCACTTATGGATATCGATCCGTCAAAAAGATTACACGCAACAAACAAATTTAAGCGCTCAATATCAAGCTCTTTTTTGTGCAAGGCGTACGACCCCTTCATCATATACGAGGATGGAAATAAATCGTTATTCTCTAGCTGTTCCAAATGGCTATTATGAAAATCTTTTACACAGCTCGCCATTTCCTGTGCAAGGATCTCTTGTTCTTCAGTACATCGTTCGATCATTGCACGCGCATCAATTGCTGCTCGTTTGATGGTGACTGGAATGGTGTCTTCGTTTGGTGCATTGATTGCGTATATGTGACTGTCTACGTCACTAGCGTCTTCCCAACAAAGAAATGGAAATTGCTCGTAACCATTTTGCTTTAAAATCTCAATTGACGAGTTGTATTTTTTTAAAAGCTTCCTCAGATTGCCACTTTCTTTCGTAATACTTTTTGAAAGACGCTTGGCTTGAGCTTGTCCATCTGCAATGAATTAAAAATTTAATGAACTGTGCGCAAAATATTACATAATGAGTACCGTCTGCACGGTTTAATCACCTGCGTATCTTTTTTTCAATGACAAAAGAAACCATCTTCTTCGCCCACTGATCAATATCATGTCTAATGTCTGTTTAGCATTTACTGCTTCTTGTGTTCTTAAAGTAGACAAATATTGTCCGCTAGTTGGCGTCCATCTACTCTGAATACCATGTTCTGTTTCCATTCGCAGTAAACGATTGTTTAAGCTGAAAATTAAACCATGTAATAGAGAAATAAAATTAAATAGAAACGCACAAGCCATATTTCTTTCACTCTTTTATTCTACTCAATGGAATAAAACACATTCTACATAATTACAGTTAACATTATATTACGGTAAGGTGTCTTTTTCACTGTAATAGCTGTTCGCTTACCTGCTCATTACAGCCATAACATGGTTATAGCGGCTGTCGTCGACACCCTCTGACACTTGATTTCTAGAAACAAGGAAGAATACAATTTATAATACTATTTATAACGTCTTTATCATCAAGAATCCAACCGATAAACCGTGATTTCGTTATAATTTTCCTTTCAATATTCTTTGATAATTATGTGTTATGGTTTCTTATATTGTACGATTTTGTTTACCACAAACAACATACCTTGCAGAGTAATACTGGCGCAACAGGGAAAAATATTCTAAGACCCAATTGTGCGGACCTAAATCAACTATAAACGATAAAGATTTTCTATATTAGGTGTACATGTAAATACAAAAGTTCTAAACTAAAATCGTGTTCACAATAAACAGAATGTTAGCGCTTTCTCTCCTATACCATTCCCGCCTTGAGAAAACAATCGCATATTAAATATACCCAATCCACATATCGATGTACCTTCTTCTGGTCTGGACTTTCGTAAATATTCCTTTTCACGTTGCTTCCACTCCGTGACCATTTCGTCAGTGACGGGGACTACACGATAGCATAAAGTGGTTCAATGGTTAACAAGTTGAACCATAATTTACACTCCACTTATTTTTGGAACTAACTTGATCTATGATTTGAGTTTATAAGTTACACATATAATACCTGGAGACTTTTTCCGCAAATCTTCAAGTTCGATGCACGCTGAATTAGAGAGCTCTTGACATCTTTTATGCTGCACACGCAATAATAATACTAGAAATTGAAATGAAACAGTGATGTATACTGTACAGTAGTTCAAATTTAAAAATCTGTATTATATAAACTCCATTGTGTTAGTCTCGTAAAAGCTACGTAGAAGAGAAAGGATAATTACCTGTTTTCGATCTTTGCCGTTTTGTGTAGTAGTATAGAGCATCTGAAAGAATATCCTCTCGATGACTGGCAGACATCTCTTTAGTCATTTTGCGAAACAATCTCAGATATGACCAGAGTCTCTCAAGAACTTCTCCATCAACCAAACCCCATCCATCAAGTCTTCTTGGGCTGCACATTAGCTGTTACATGTACAATTACAGTGACAATTACATACGCAAATATTCAAGATTTCCTATGAAAATGAAGTGCATGTTCCACGCATACTGCACATGTGCGGTGGGTTTTGGAGCACTGTACAATAACGTAAACAATGAACTAATGCTGTTAGTACTATTTTTGTACACTCTTTAGAGTCCAATAAAAGGCTGTTGTTGTTAATTGCTAATATTATTTTGAAATACATGTACCTGACAAGTTGCACCGTGTCCATACACGTGAAATTGAGGGCAAGCTAACTTTATACAACTCAGTAGCTCGTTATTATTTTGCTTCTATAAAAATCAAAACGCTAAATTGTTAACAACGCTTTTACACTGAAGTTTGTAGGCAATATTAAGAAGTGGTCGCAAAACCAACAACCAACAGCAGCACGCTTACATGGTTCATTATACTGTACGCTTTTCAAAAAATATTTCGCAAATCTACTGTACTGTACATATGGTAATAGGAATACGTACTTTGAGAACATATGGCATGTGCATTTCTTCGTGAGAGAGAAGAATACCATACAGTAACTTATCAACTGACGAAGGAGAAGTGACTCTCTTAGAGAACATGAGCAATTCGAACACTTACAAAGATACAGAAATTGCAGGATTAAAACGTAGAAAAAGATATCAAACCAAATACCTTTCTCCGCCCTTTAAATTTAGGAAATCCATCGGAATTCCATGTTTGCATCCCAACCCACAAACTGCAGTCTCATCTAGGGCATAATATTTGCCCTTGGACACCATTTCAGAACCAGCCTGAAAATCACTGCACTCCTAAAACATGGATAACTTGGTAACGTACTTGTTCTTGACAGGTTGATATTCAGTAAGAAGCATAAGAAATGTACTGTGCAGACGTTTCACAAAAAGAAATACTGTATTAATATTTTGAAACGAGTTTGGTCCCATCACATCATTGTGCGAACAATTGCTTCAGTATAATTTGCCACACCAGGCAAGCTGAGAAAAAAATAGGTTGACTCGATGTAGCAAATGATACTCAGAGTAGCAATATCTTCATCTTATAGACCTGAATGCAGTTCAATAACCTCACATAAAATTCACAGCTCAGTTAGAATCACTGTACCTTGTTACTACATGAGTTTCCAGAAGCAACTGGATATGAGGATACAAATTCATCCACTTTGTCTTGATTATGGAAGAACATGTTATCACTCAAGGGTTCTCGATAACTCATTCCAGATGTCTTCTTTCTTGGCAAACCGAAGCATGCATCCAGGGAGACAAACAGTTTTCCATTTTGATCCTCAAAATTTGATTGAATATGCAAAATGTCTATTATTAACAACTATAATTTATAAAACTTTTGTATCTGTACGGGTATGCCCAACTTTGCGAGTGATTTGAACTCATAATAATCTACTAAAATGCACACAATATTATGGTTATAGAGTAGTAACTCTGTTTCACATCTATTTGTTTTTTTTTTGGTACAGTATGTGTCTCAACTGGGAATCGAACCACAGTAAACTATTGCCATAATGAGACTTATTTTGTACTACATGAAAATGCCTACATCCACAAAGCTACTATACATGTATCATATCAGAATCCAAGAGAAAAACAACAATATAACATACAATACCTTTGGACATGCTGGACAACTTGGTGCAAGAGCTGTACCAGACTCGCTTCCACAGTCATAAAATGGTGTTGTTTTTAAATTGAATCTACAACAAATCGATGTAATTAGTGAGAATGGAAGTTTATCTATGGGTTGCAATGCATTTAACTGATCTAAGGTCTTTTGACAGACTTGACTTTCACCTTAACAAGAGTTAACTTACAAGTACGACTGGTACCGTTGCTCACAACTTATGATCTATGTAACATGGGTGGCACAGAGTTACTAATAAAACGTTGTTCAAGGTCAGAGGCAACTTGCAAAGATTTATATCTTAATTGCACATTTTAACCTAGCAAATGGACAGACAGCATAGACAATATACCAGCCTACTACATTAGACTAATTATAAAGTATACACTGGTATTTCACCTGAACTCTTCAAATGCATCAATAAATTGCTCATAAACTTTTCTTTTCTAAAGGACAAAGACAGAGATTATAACACACAATGCACTGCATGGGGTGATATTTCTTGATTTCTTGGAAAACACAAGGTCTTACTTTCTTGATAGAGTTTTTATTTAAATCTAGTTTACCAAATTAGGAAGAAAAGACAAACGTTTTATACAGATGTTCAATACATTTTTGCTTACAAAATAATCAGATCAAATTAAAATTTAATTCATACTAATAAATATATTATACTAAAATACACTATGTAGCCATTAAATTAGTGTATGTATGCTAGGCAATTTACCTTGCACATAACCATTAACCAATTCATGCAGTACCTTTAAAAGAGGAGTCTCAAAGAAATTCAGTGCTTTTGACAGGTCATAGATTGAGACATGACACTCCATCATCAGGGATAAAGTCAGCTCCATTAACCGAACTGTAAAAGCCAACGTTGGCTCCACAGGAGTAGCAGGCCACAGACCATAACAAAGCAGACTTTCTGGGACACTCACACAAGTACAATATTCAAATTGCACATCATGATGAAAGCCTATATAGGTTATTTACAAAATATTCGAATACATGTTTTCATCAAAGCTGCATAACCAATTAAGATGGCAATTTCTAATGATAATAAGGTGTACTGTATATGTTATGAGCAGAAGCAGAAACAGCTAGGTCAACAAAACACTGTTTTCTTCAGTCTCAATAAATAAGAGATAGAATAATTAATATATTATATCAACATACCATTGATGTCAATTACAGTAATTGGCCTCAGATGTGTATTACTGCAAACATGTATAGGATGCCGTAATGTTCTCTCTGGAACTTTGTGGTGAGTCCAACCACCTCTCTGTTATATGAAAAAGTACAAATCTGTAACCTTAATACAAGTGAGTAATAAAATGTTCCTACAAGCCTTCACTCCGACCTTCCTAACTATACAGAAGTTGCAGCAAAAAGGATATATAATGGTCTTGTGAATAAATTGTTAGCTATTACTCCCTATACAATGCATTTATATCCAATACTGTATATCTGGAAAGATTTCATCTTGAGACATAATATCTACTTGCCTGACAACTTTATGCACTTACACTTAATAATTCTGTTAAGTGGAACTGACATTTGTCTTTGTGTATGGAATTGCAACAATTCAGACAATAATATGCCCGTAACCACAGTCACGACAACGTGTTTCTGCTGTTTCTGTGCAGCCATTTTCAATGCAGTTTGACGGTGCAAAACCCTCTAATTGCAGAGAGGTTTGCATCAGTCGTATGCGAATTTTCTCCCAGTTCGCAGAAAGCCTCGTTCTTCATGCTCTATACAATGAATTCGTGGGCAAATGACAATTACTCTCCCATTGGTTATCTAAGAATTCAACTTGTTCTGTTGTACTGCTACTACAACTTTGATCATCATAAGTTGCCGCGTTCTCACTAGTTTCCTTATCTTCGTTTTTAGATATCGGTGCAGGAAGTTTAATCATTGACGATTTTTTCTTCGCTACATCAACAATGCGAAAGCTAGAGTTTCCCTTCCTTTTCCCTGGTTGAAAGAACATATTAATATTTATAAAATTCACTCTCAAGGAAAACAAAAATGGCGCTGTTTATTTTGAATACTAAATTAGGTCATGAAAGTGCGCCAATTCCCGCCACCCCCTGGTACATGGGACTTTAGCATTACAACCCAATAACTTATTGCATACAACTGGTTTACACTTACAATAGATTATTGGTTACAACGTGCGGAACGGGTGCCGAGTCGCAGAATACCTATCAGAAAACCTCTATTAATTATTGCTAAACCTCTCTAATTGGCAGGGGGGTGACTGCCTCAAAAAAATGCACTTGCTAAGTGACGAATCACACTTCTGTGACCGAGTCATCGCATATACGCGCGATTGAAAATCGGATTTCCGAAATCCAAGTCCGATTATAAAAACAAAGCATGGCGGAGGCGTTGGCAGTACAGGAAGAATCGATCGTTGCGGAAGGTGAGTTCATGTTTTATTCACATAAATGTCCATAAAGAGCATTTGCATATATAAACTTAACCTTTTGTATCTCAATTTGGCTGTTTGCACTGTTAAACGAACTAGGATGGATGTAATTTTCAAAGGATTGTCATTGTTATTGTGGCGAAAAATAATAGTATAATTCTATTTTAGCAGATACAAGACTCAACTGACTAGAAGTTTAGAAGTTAAATTATCTGGAAACCTAAAATATACAAAATTTACGATTTGTTTTGATAAGATTTTTTACAATTTATGAATTATTTACAGTAGCCAATATTTCATGGAGCTTTTGGCTGCATGTTGGTGCAAGGTTGATGCATTTTACATTGTCAGAATTGAGCACTAATTAGTAACTATAGCTGTATAAGAGTTTACAAAAGTGATGAGTGTTACCACAGGCAGCCCACGTTGTGAATTTTTTATTAATATTTTAGTGTATAAGATTCAACAACGTGGGTTGGATGTGGTATTACATAGAAAGTAAATGACAGAATTGTTTAACTTTTGTTTCAAGAAAAAGTGATCCAAATTGACTTGACTGAAATTGACTTGACTGAAAAAAAAGATGTGGCTATAAAGGAAGAGGTACATATAAATAATTTTATTGCATAAATTATTATTATACTTGCATGCATTTTGTGTCTGTTTTTCCTTACCTTTACATAGCTGTGCCCTAATGTAGATTAATATTTATTAAATTATTTTAAATATGAACTTATGTTAACTGTTTAATTATTTTAAATATTAACTGAAGTTAATTAAGTTACATTATTACATTGTTGTCAAAGTAGTTACACTTCTTCATGAATATACACTTAGGATGCTTTCAGTGATAGAGGGAGCTCCTGGAACCTTCATGCCTCTTGCTACAGCCATGTTTGTTCTATTCATTAATCTATACTTTAGATGACTCCAAGATTTTTTGTTATTTTGTAACTAATTATTAATTTATATATTTCAGCCGCATATTGTGCATGTGATCGAGGACTCTCCAAGTCCAGTAAAAATAGAGGTTGGGCATGGAAAGAGGAAGTTGGGCAGCAGCTCTGCACAAAGGAAGTTGTTAATGTTTGATTGTGAAAGGTTACTATAGTAATACACATTCATTTGATATTTTCATTGATGAGCTGTTATTTTAGCACAATCATAATTAAATGTTACAGTAGGTATGTGCTTTATTTGTAGTTCAGAGGATGATGACGATGCTCATGCTGATGAAAAGAAACCAAGGTAAACTGCTGCAGTTAAAACTATTATTCTGTTAAGTTTATAATTTTCAATGGTTTCGACTCATGTTTCATCTGCATTTTGTAGTGCTGGTAGGGTTGCTTTAACCCCAAGCATATGGTCTGAAGTTGACTGCCAAGATGTTGATAAATTGCCAAATGATATTGATGGCCTTGTACAATTCCAACTACCTTTCCTTAAAGAAAACAGAATGCAATCAACACGAGATGGGAGACCCTGGGCAGGATTCATGACCTCACAAAGAAGTGGGTTCAATGGCATTAGGAGACTTGCTAGATGCAAAGGGTCCCCAAAGTGTATCAATGAAAACTGTCTTTACCTAAAGCAGTTCAGTAAACAAAATAGGGTACACTTCCAGTCAAAGGGCGGTGAAAGCATATGCCATAGCTGTGGGGCACCTGTGTGGGCACGTTGTTACTAGTAAACAACTTAATCGAATTCTTAAATAATTGAAATACTATTCCAAGCCAAGACCCTCTAACTAATAGTTCAATTGCTCAGAGTGCTAAAACTGTCTCCATAGATTAGCCGGCAAATGGTGCTAACTCACAGTCAGGTCAGGCAAACAAATTCTTTAATGCAATAAAGGCTGAAAATTTGGTGCCAAATATAGGTGGTCTCAAAATTGCAAGTCTTAACACAAACAGTTTACTAAAACATAGAAATGAATTAAGAGCATCCATGTATAATCAGTAAATTGATATCCTAGTGATCAACGAAACCAAACTTGACCCTAATGCACCCATGGACTTGGTTTCCCTTGAAGGTTATACCTGGGTATCGAGGAATAGGAATAGATTTGGTGGTGGCGTTGGTTTCTACACATAAGAAATGCTATTAATTTTTGGACTAGACTTGACTTAAATAAACAGGATACTGAAATTCTTACTGTTGAAATTAACAAATATAAAATGAAATCATTTTTGATCTCAACGGACTAGACTTGACTTAAATGAACAGGATATCGAAATTTGAAATTTTGAAAATTTTGAAACTAACAAATATAAAATGAAACCATTTTCGATCTCAACATGGTACAGACCACCAAACTCTCCTATAGGCTTGCTAGGTAAATTTTAAAATGTGTTGCAGTTAATCGACATGGAAGATAAAGAGAGCATTTAAACTGTGACATACTTGACATCAACTGTAGGGACCAAAACACAAATGAACTTAACTTTATCACAAGTATTTATCAATATCAACAATTGATTGATGAGACTACATGAGAAACTATTCGAAAACTTTAATTGACCACTTCTATTCCAATAAAAGAGAACATATTGTTTTAGCAGGAGTTTCTAAAATATCTATTAGTGACCACTACTTAATATTTGGCATTAAAAAGTTTCCATCCTTGAAGGCCGAAGAGCATATCAAATTTTGTGATTTAAAAAATTTTAATGAAGAAAATTTTCTTCATGACTTAACACCTTTACAAACTCTCAATGTCACAAATTATTCCAATCCCAACCAAATGTGGTGTGTTTGGAAGGAAAAATTTACAAAAATTATTGATAATCATGCTCTGCTCAAAACACGTAAAGTTGAAAAGAAGCGTACACCATGGATAACTAAGCAAATTATTCATAGAAAGAGGCTAGCAATATTCTAGCGAATCTGCTAGAAATTCGTATAATAAGTTGATCAAAGCAACTATTCGAAAACATTACACAGCAGAAATTCATAAAAATGAAAGAAATGCAAACCTTACCTGGAAATCAATCAATAATTTAATTCATAAATAGAAAAAATGTGAGTGAAATTTGCAATAAACATGGTGATACAATTGACACAAATTATATTCCTCATGCTTTGAATAATCATTTCACAGATTTAGGTATAATTCTGTCGCAAAAAATACCACCAACTCTTATTCTCCCAGAAACCTACACAATAGTGTAGCCAGGCTGTCGATTTGTCCCGCTATGTGAAATTTTTAGTGTTCACTGACTGTGAAAACAATAAATTTCTAAAGATATGAATAATTATAGTAACTCGAAATTTACGGGGACAAAATCGTCAGGCTGGCTACGCCACTGAACCTACATCAGAGAATCAACACAAGAATTTACTTTTAGTGAGATAAGTGCATTAGAAGTCTTTCAACTGTTGACAACAATGTCACTTAATAGGCAACCGGATTAGATAAACTGCCAACAAAACTTGTCAAATTAGCAGCCCCCATGCATTACTAAACCACTTACTGCAATATTTAATAGGTTTATATCAACTGGAATATACCCTTGCGAATGGAAAGTCGCCAGAATTACCCCAATTTACAAAAGCAGTATTAAATCTGATATGCATTTAACCAACTTGCATTTAACCAACTTTATTCTTGCCTACAACAATCAAATCTTTTAACAAATTCACAACATGGTTTTAGACCTCTCTACTCAACTGTCACTGCATTGCTAAAAATGACAAATCAGTGGTATCGAAATATGGATGAAGGCTGTAGTGTCCAGTACCATGCGGAAAAGGCGAGCCCACGTAAGAGGAGAACATTTTATATATGTGAGATTGAGAGAGAGTTTTATACGGTTAATGGGAGTTTATGTAACATGAAATCAAAGCAATAAATTAGAACCTTTACATTGGCGACAAGGATTAAGAGAACCTGCGAACCATAGCCAACGCATTATACGTAAATTTGGACAAATACAAGTCGGAATAACAATTATTTAGCGAACAAGCACGAATGGCAAATCTGCCATCTTTTCCACCCTTGATGTTGAAGCAGACAAGGCCAACGCTGGCCCGCGTTGGAAAAAGTGGATTGGAAGACTTAAGAACGTATTAGTCGGTATGAACATCAACAATGACTCTAGAAAACGAGCTTTATTATTACACTATGCAGGGGAACCTGTTTACGAAATCTATGAAGCGGAGAAAGGGGAAAGTGGAAACACCTATGCCAATACTAAAGAAGTGCCCCTCAAGTATTTTGAGCCAAAGACAAATATACAAATAGAAATTTACAACTTTCGTAGTTGCAGGCAGAAAGAAGGACAATCCTTGGATGAATTTGTAACAGAACTAAGGCAGTTGTTGAAGAATTGTGGATTCACTGACCTTGACAAGGAAATTTTATGCCAAGTTATCCAGCATTGTAGCTCCAGTCGGTTTCGTAGGAGGTCTCTGCGAGAACCTGACAAGTCGTTAACTGAAATCTTGGACATAGGCAGAGCATTGGAACTAACAGATAAACATGGTGCCTCTATGGAGAATGAATCTATTTCAGCAGTCAAATACAGCAAAAAGCAACAGGCAAAACGGGAAGACACATTGTCAAATTACAAAGGCACCACCCAAGACCAGGACATTAAGAAGACATGCAAGAATTGTGAGAGCGCATATCCACATAC